ACCCGGGGGACCCGCGCCGGCCTCCGAGGGCCCCCCCGTGCTCGTGCCGCTCCCGGGCCTCCCCGGGTCCGCGTGGAGTGTCGGGCCTGCCCCTCTGCAGGGGGATCCTCCTCCTCCTCCCCCTCCTCCTCCTCCTCCTCCTCTCCTCCTCCTCCTCCTCCTCCCTCCTCCTCCTCCTCCTCTCCTCCTCCTCCTCCCCCTGCTCGTCCTCCTCCTCGTCCTCCTCCTCGTCCTCCTCCTCCTTCTCTGCTCCCCCGCCCCCGCCCTCACGCGCCAGCGGGCCCGGCGCCGAGGCGCGCCGCTGGAGCCGGCAGAGAATTGGCCCTGAGAGTCCGGGCCGCTCCCGCCCGCCCTTCGCTGATCATTGGGCACCAGAGTTGGGCGCCCGAGTTATCCGGGGTAACTCGGGTCCGGGGTAACTCGGGTTTGGATTCCCGAAAAACGAACCCGAGTTAGCCCTGACCCGAGTTACCCCTGATGACTCGGGGCTCTGGACGCCCGAGTTATCCGGGGTAACTCGGGTCCGGGGTAACTCGGGTTTGGATTCCCGAAAAACGAACCCGAGTTAGCCCTGACCCGAGTTACCCCTGATGATTCGGGGCTCTGACAGGGTTAAGTCGGGCGTGTCCCTCTACAGGAGGGATGTTCAAAGATAGTTGAAACATAGTCTGGGGACGATGTTGTCTTACTGCGTTTGGGCATTTGGGGAGTTTTTTGTTGTTGTTGTTGTTGTTGTTGTTGTTTCTCTTCCGTATTTTTATTTTTTCGCCCAAAATCCCCCTGTAGGGGGACAGGCCAGACTTAACACCAGATGTTAGTCGGTCGCGATCGGTAGCCTTACGATTTGGGTTGGGCGCCTCGGCCACCAGAGAAACCTTTTGCCTTGGACGCGAGGTCCGCCGCGGTGCCGGCTTCGTCCACTTGGGCGTGTTCAGAGCAAGCGTCAAGTCGGGCCTGTCTCTCTACAGGAGGAAATTTTAATATAGTGAAAAATAGTCGGGGGATATGTTTTGTTTTTAACAGCGTGTTTCACTATTTCGGGGTATGTTTGATTTTTTTAAAGTTTTCGCAGGGGGACAGGCCCGACCTCAGGCAAGCGGCGCTGCGATGTTTGTTCGGTCGTGATCGGTAGCGACCAATCGGCACTCCGAATCGGTCGGTCGCGGTCGATTGGTCGCGCGACCGGTTCTGAAACAGAACGGCCGCGACCGATCCCAGAATCTGAAGCAGAATCGGTAGCAACCGATCTCGTCGGTCGTGACTGGAGAATGATGGTATCCAATGATCAGGGTAGTCGTCACCCCCTCGCTCTCTTTCGCCTCTCGTTCGATATCCGCTCATGGGAGCCTTGGGCGGCGACATTGAAGTCAATCTTTCCTGCATTTGGACCGCATTCGGACCGCATTTGGCCCTTCGTCCTGCTCCTCCTGGCCGTTGCTGTTCCTCCTCCCCCTCCTGGTTGTTCTCGTCTCCGTGAATCCGGCCCAAATCCCGTCCACATCAGGCCCCGAGCCACGCAGACTCCCGTGGAACGGCCACCAAACTCTCGGCCGGGCGAAGAGGCTGTCCTCCGAGTCGGAGACTTGTCCATCACCGCCGCCTTCGGGATGGGTCTGCGGGGACTTCGGCAGGCGGCGGATGTGGATACGGTCATGAATTCTGGCTCAGCGTCTCGCGTCACCGGTCCTGGCCTTCCACGCCATGGCGCGGCAAGCTAAGCCCGTCTTCCTTTCCAGGCGTCAGCGTCCCGAGCGCTTCCGAGCCGCCCGGCCCGCGAAGCGGAGCGACACGCCATCAGATGCTCTCAGCTTGCAGGGCATAGCGTGTCGTCGGGGGGTGCCGCCATACTTCAGAAATGTGGCAAGTCCCCTGTGTTCTTGGACCCCGACCCTGCCGATCTGCGCGAGGGGTGCTGCCGAATTTCAGAGATGTGGCAAATCCCCTGTGTTTTTGGACCCTGACCCTGCCGATCTGCGCGAGGGGTGCTGCCGCATTTCAGAGATGTGGCAAATCCGATGTGTTCTTGGACCCTGACCCTGCCCATCTGCGCGAGGGGTGCTGCCGCATTTCAGAGATGTGGCAAATCCTATGTGTTTTTGGACCCTGACCCTGCCCATCTGCGTGAGGGGTGCTGCCGAATTTCAGAAATGTAGAAAATCCTATGTGTTTTGGACCCTGACCCTGCCCATCTGCGCGAGGGGTGCTGCCGCATTCTAGAGATGTGGCAAGTCCCGTGTGTTTTTGAGCAGCAGTTCATGACCGTATCCGTCACTACCGCCCAGGAGAGCGGTCTTCGGGGACCCCGGCAGGCGGTGGATGTGGACACACTCGGGCCCTGGGCGGGGCCCAACGTGCCCATATCTCAGGAGGGGAAAAGCACACAGACACAATTGATCGTCGACTCCCCAGAAAATGTTGGAAAATGTGGGAAGTGGGGGGGAAGACAAAAACCCAGAAAATATGGGGAAATATAGGGATTCTTTTTGTTTGTGTGTATCGCCGCGAGATCGGCGGGAGGCCCCCGAGAGCGAAATCGCACGCTCCTGGGCGGGGAGTGCCATCGGGCCCCTGTCGACGGTGGCTGGGCGACCTGGGATCGCTAGAGTGAGCGGCTTGCATAAGGAACACTTGCTTTTCAAAAGGGGCTCGGTCGTTCCTTAGGTTTACATGCGTTATTTGCAGTCCCTTATGCGTTATTTGTTATTTTTCGTTCCTTATGCGTTATTCCTTGGGGTAAAACAGGGGCTTCGTTCCTTATTTACAGCACCCTTCCGCCTGAGCCTCCGCTCCGCCGTCCCTCGCCGCCGCTGCAGGGCGATGATGACTTCGTGATAGGGTTGGCCCGGGAGACGTCCCAGGATGTCCAGATCATCGAGCGGCTCTCGCTTGTGCAGCCCACGTGGCACGTCAAGAACTACGGGGAATCCTGGAAACCGTGACAATCATGGAAGTACCCACCCAGACATCAATTTTTTCGATGCGTGGGCCCCAGATCGGGCCGGACGAAAGAGGGGAATTGGGAAAGGGGGGGTTACGAACTCTGCTGCATGCAGCTGGTTTCGGCCCCACCGAGGGGCCCATTTCTTGATACATGGTCGCCTCCGGCGCCAGGAGGCGCCGGGAAAATCAGCTACGTGAGCTGTTTCTCATCCCCCCTTTGCTATCCCTCCCTTTCGCCTCGCCCGACAGAGGTCCGGACCACTTCCCGGGGGCCAGAGCTTCGCCCCGAGCCGTTTTTTTGGTCTCGCTCCCGAGGCCCGCTGCCCTTCGCCCGCCTGCTCCCGCTCCCGCTTCGAGCACGAGGTGGTGCGATCTGCGGCGTGCTTGCGGCTCTGCTGCGCGCCGCTCTGCACAGCAGGACGTGCCCCTCCTCGGGAACTGGAGCACACATTACCAGCGGCGGGCTGCTCTTCAATCCCAGGACTTTTGAGGGTCGGGGACGACGTCGGAGTGGTGTGGTGTATACTTCTCCCCCAGTTCCCAAGGGAAACAACGAAAAATCCAGGATCCGCTCTCCTGTGCAAATTTCAGTGCAGGGCTGGCAAAAGCGTCGGTGTATAGAGCTCGTTCCCCTACCTCCTGGACTGCTCGTCGCGCAGTGCCCTGCGCCGCGCCCTGGAACTTCCGCTCCGACGTCGCCGCACGGCTGGCGGCAGGGCGGCGCGATGCGTTTGTGAGGTCGGCCGAGCCGTGCGGCGGCCGTCCCGCGAGCCCCACGCCGATGCCCCCGGCGCGTGCCCGGCGTGCCGGGTGGAGGAGGGTCTGACCTGGGAAGCGAGTCAGTCGGTGAGTGCTGAGCCACACGCGAGATGCGCGCATCCCCAGACTTCTTCATAGGTCAAGGGCCACCCGGTCAGGTACAAGAGATGGAGTCGGAATCGACGGTCTCCAGGCGGAAGCGAGACGAAGTTGCCTAAACAACCTCTACCTTATAGCTTTTCCAATGTGGTCTCTGTGCCCTGCATCCGCTGATCGGTTCCCACTGCTCGTCGACAACGCAGCCTGGCGTCCGCGAACAGAAGCGTCTGAACGTATGCGACATGAGGCGCAGCTCGCCCAGCGGACCGCTGCCGCCTCTCTCCCCTCCCGCCCCTCCCTCCTGCGCGTGCGTGCCCGCTTGCCCGATCGGGCCACAGCGAAGCCTCCGTCCGACGTTGGAGCGCGTGGACTGGCCATCCGCAAGGTGAGGGAAAAAGGGCCTGGTGAGGCAGGGCGAGGAGGCGGTATGACGATGCGGCGACGGACCCTGCGGCGTCCCGCCCCGCGGAGCGGAGCGACACGCTGTCCGTTTGCACTGCATCGTGTGTCGCTGGGGCCGCTGCCGCGACACGCTAAGCCAAAGTTCCTGACAGTAGTGGGCGTGGACGGTTGATGTTTTTTGGGGGGCGGGAGGGCAACAGACCAACCAGCCTGGTAGCATGTTTGTCATCTTGAACTTCGTCTCGCACGAGGTGCTCGTAGTACTCCCGATTGTATGAGTTTACCCCACCCCACCATGGACTGTGCTTATCTGTCTCGAAGCATCTCATTCTCATCCAGCCATCTGCGAGCATGAGCGCATTTAACTTTGGCCAGCTGATACAACCATACTTTCCCATACGCCTTTCGATCCAACAAGGTCCAGACACTACACGTCACCTGCGTTCCGCAAGGCGATATGTTTGTTCGTTCTGGCATTTGTCTTGTCCATGAGTGCGCTGTTGTGTTCTGGGTGTTCTCGCTCATCTTCTCTTGTTCTAGCTGCACAGCTATTATGTGCCCTCGCAGGCTGATTACACTGCGCCTCCACTCTTTGTCTTGCTTCTCACCTCCGGCGTGCTTCTGCCTCTCTATATAGTGTATTTGGTTGCCTCGCCTAAGTCGGCCTTCCTTGTTCTTGACGCTGCAATCGAGTGATCTTAGGTCGTGCAACGGGGCCCAGGAGGAGGAGGAGGAGGAGGAAGGAGGAGGAGAAGGAGGAGGAAAAGGGGGAGGAGCAGCAGGACGACGACGACGGCGGGATGGACCGGCGCAGCAGCCCGGGGTCGGCAGGGTCGGGCGCGAGCGGCGCGCGCTCCGCAGGCATCAGGCTGGCTTCAGATAATTTTTGACCCGCCTGCCGCCGCTGGAGGGCCTCGCAGTCGCCTCGCGCCCATGTCCGTCAACCTCCAAATCAAGATGGTGGCAGGCTCCGGCGCCTTCTCCCGTTGCCTCCGGGGACCATATTGTAATGATCCAGAAGGGGTTCCTCCTCCTTTTCCTCCTCGTGCTTCGCCTCCTCCGCCGTCTGTTCTCCTTCCTCTCTCCCTGTCCCCATAATGGGAGAGAGGAGGACAAGGAGGGAGGAGAGTAATAGGAGCAAAAGGAGTGCGCAGGAACAGTCAGACGAGAAGGGGGAGGAGGATGAAGAGGGAGAGGGTGGCAGGCTCCGGGGCTGTGTTCCAAGTGGACATCGACAAGGAGGCCACGGTGGATGAGCTCAAGGCGCAGATCGCCCCACGGGTGGCCTTGCCCAAGGCCCAGGGTCAAAGCCTCATCCCCCCTGCGGGCAGAACTTATCCATATCCAGAGCGTCGTGGACTTTTTGGAAAGAGGTGCCGCAACACCAAGGCGCACTGGATATGGATAAAATCAAGCCTCTTGGGGCCAGATTTTTATCCATATCCAGTGCGTCTACGGTTTCTGGGGAAGAGAGCCCAAGAATCCAAGACGCACTGGATGTGGATATAATTATTGCCCGCACCCCCGCCCCTGCCCTCGTCCGTCTTGTCCTCGTCCTGCTTCCACTGCCCCGCCACTGTGCCCGTCGGGTGGTGCAGAGTTCTGCTACCAGGCAGGCCGCTGGGGCACAGCTCCTCCAGCTCCCCCCTTCCCCCTCGCTTCCTTGCTCCTCCCCCTCCCCGCGACACCCATTCTTTTGTTCCCCCCCCTCTCTCTCTCTCTCCCCCTCCCTCCTGCCTGGTAAGGCCGTGGGGTGCGAACGAGCCACCCTAAGAGATGCACCAGAGGTCCCCAAGCCCCAAGCAGGAGTGCACCAGAGAGTGGTCCCCAAGCTTATCCCTTACGCCGCCCTCATCGTCTTGGGCACACGCGCCTCGTGGGCCCATGATTGAGGAACTCCACAGTCCCGCTTGCCGCCCCCCTACCAACTTTGGCAGCCTCCGTACGCGCTCCCTGGCCCCATGGGGAGCTCCACCGAGTGCCTCCGTGGGTTAGGCCTGCAGATTGGTTGTCCAGCCTTTGGGGGCCAGATTCTGATCCACATCCATTGCGCCTCTGGTGTCTGGGGCAGGTAAACCGAAACTCCAATACAGCCAGGGCCCTGAAGAAGGAACCCTCTTCGTTGGAGAGGGGCTCCGCGTTCCTGAAGTGTTTCGCAGCTTGCCTCAGGTTTTCCTTATGTTTTCGATCGGAAATCGAAGGTTAACTCATGGAAAAAAGGGGCCTCGTTCCTTATTTTGGGTTCCTTAGGTCAAGGCCCCGACTGTATGCAGTGGACATGTATGGACTCTTGTATTCACGACGCAGGCCAGAACTCCTCCTCCAGAGAGGCCGTCGGCACGACGGGCTCCCCAAGGGGGAGATTCCGGGGCCCGCGCGAGGACCACATCCGGCTGGTCTGCGCGGGCCGCATTTGGCAGGACACTGCCACGATCGGCTCCTACGATCCGCAGCCGGCCGCGACGGTCCACTGCCTCAACAACCCACCGCGCGCCGCGGTGCCGACTAGTTCCGAAGTCGTCTTTGTCCCCACGGCAGGCATGCATCGACCAAGAAGGCCCGGCCATCCGGAACGCTGACAGAATCGTGGCGGCCTGTCTTGCGTGATTACTTCGTCCTTGGCCTTTGGAGGCCAGCTTTGGGGGCCCCCGGGCCGCCACAAGATGATTTGTGATGTAAGCTCGCAGGCGACTTTTCTTCCCAAATCCCCGAGTTCCGCCCGACAAGTTTTGCCGCTCAGAAAAAACAGGGAAACCCTGGGATACACGTCAAAGGGGGCTATCCAGACGCACCAGTACTGAGGATGGACGCCCCCCCATCGCACATCCTAAGTTTGGGCCCCGAATTTCTACCACCCCTGGATAAAAAAGTAGTGATCGGCATTATGCGAGGGAACAACCCCTGGGTCTTCGTCAACCGATAAAACCTCGACCTTCGATCTTCGATCGATCCCAAAATGACTCCAATATAGGCTCGTGACCCGAACGGAGAAACTTCGCCGCAGGGGTGGACGAGACGCGCGGTTATTAGGACAGCCCAAACGAAATCGCCGCTCTCTGGCGGCGTGCAAAGCGGCTGGAAAAGACTCCGTGAGGAATTTGCAGGCGATATCGCCATTCTCAAGCGGCATGAGGATCGGTCTGAAAATTTGTCATGAGGAAGTCCCACGCGAAATCGCAATTTTCAGTTGCCATGGCAAATTTTCAGATCGCCCTGGAAAGCGATCTGAAAGCTTTTGCGAGGAAGTCTCCGGCGGAATCGCATTGTCAGACGTTGACCCCATCTGGCCGTTGCATCTGACATTCCCCCATCGGCCCCAACTCCGCCATTGTCCCGGGGCCTCGCGGCCCAACGGGAGGCCCACCGTGTCTTCCTCGATCCCCACGGTCTCCACTTTCTAATCCAGCGGGTTGTAGTCCACTCGGGAAACACACGAGGCCTGGGATAGGGGTCGACATATCCCCTGGAAGAGAGGGGGGGGGGGTCGGCGAGGGGTGGGGGGGGGGGGGGCAGGGGCTGGGCCGCCAGGGGGACCACGCGCGGTGGCGGGGGGTGGGATTGGATCCCGCATGGGCGGGGGGGCAGGGACAGCCCGACCGAGAGACCCGACGCTCCAACAAGAGTTGGAGTGGCGGGCTTTTTTTTTGGCCGCTGTCGGCCTCGGCCTCCGGAGACGGCCCAGACAGAAAAGCCGGCCCCGGGGAAGTGGCACGGGCCTCCGGGGCCCACGCATCGAACAAAACTGGAGCGGCCGCATGTCTGGGTCTCGAAGCACAAGCCGCCCCTCGGCCCCGGAGCGTCGGAGGCCGCATCTGTCGCCGCGCCGCTTGTTCCGACGCGCGGAGTTGCGTGTTGGGGAGTTTGTGCGTACAGTTGTGCGTACCCGCGTACCCTAACCAGGACCTCTCTGCGTGCCCTTGGGTACGCACAGATGTGCCAGTTGGGGTGCCCGCGTTTTGCGCCTTGCGTCATAGCATGGACGTACGGTTGTCCTTAGGGTACCCTTGCGTCTTTGCCCCTGCGGCCCGTCCTTCGCGGTTTTCACCAGCCTGCCCCTCAGGGTGTTGGCAGCCCGCCGCCCAAAAATTGCCATCTTCGGCGTCCACGGCCCTTGCGTCCTTACCGCGGGTCCTAATTATGTCGACTGTATCCTCTGTCGTTAGCCGGTCGCCAGGAAAGGGCCAAGACCTCCCTGGGCGCCCACCGCACGCCGCGGTGCCGCCCGGCTCCAGAGGCCGCCTGCTGCGGGGCTCGCTCCAGTCCGAGCGAGCCCACTCGAAGTCGGTCTGGGCCGGCACGGGCCGACTCGATTCCGATATTTTCGTCGACTCCAGGTACAAGCAACTTTTCGCCGGGGCGATCTTGAGTGCGGGCACAGTGGGCGTCGCGTACTGAGGGGCGATACATGGGGTGGCAGCGAGGGCTGCAGAAAAGAGAGGCCTTTTAGGGCCCTGAAGAAGCCCTTTAGGGCCCAGAAGAGGGCCTTGAGAGCCCGAAGAGTCACCTTTCTCCTCCCCCATTCATCTCCCCCCGTTAACCGACGCCCAAGCACACGGGCCCTCGGTTTTCGAACGCGATTCGATCTTATCGTCTTGCGCTCTTGGGTTTGGCCCCCCCCGCGGCCCCCCCAAAAGCCGCGCACCAAAGGTCATTCTTGCCTGGGGTCACTCTTGCGTGTAGCCGACATTCCGTCGATCTGGCGCGGCTCGATGCTTTCGCGGCGCTGTTGTGCATCCTGGCGCGGCCGATTCGATTCGACCTCGGCTCCGTGCCGATGCAGCCCGATCCGATGCACGTTCTGGTCGGGTCCAATCTCCCGACTCGGTGCTGGCCGATCCTGCCCTGTCCCCAGGGTTGGTCGACGAAGAAGAGGGCCCTGGGTTTTTTATTGCCGCTGTCGGGCTCCGGGTGACTTTCGCTGGCTTCGGGGCTGAAGGACTACATCGGATTAGATGCTGTTCCCTGGGAAAGCCTCGGGGTCGGAGTCCATAGCCCGCTTCCACCAGGGCCATGTTCCTTCGTCTGACGGAGGCAAACTACCCCGCCTCCCATAATTGGCCTTGCCAAGAGAGTCCTTGGTCCTTGGCGCATGCGAAACAGCCCTGTCCTGTTCGACTCCTCCGCAGTGCTTTTATACAACTGTTTCGTTTGTCGGGGCGCTTATTGTGAGTGTTGTTGTTCTGCCTTCTATTCGTGCCAAGTTGGCAGGCCGAAGTAGGCAGCAGCTCGGGGAACGCTCCGAAGAGGTCGGGAGATTCGTGCTTACTGTCAGTCGGCAGAGGGGCTGCGAGTCCGCTGGGTAAGACGATGATGGTGATGGTGGTGGTGATGATGACAACGATGTGAGTAGGCTATGATCGTAGAGGGGAGTGATCTACAGCTTTCTCGGATCGAGCCCGCCTCGCGCTGCGCGCCGGGCGCGCCCGCAGTTGATGCGTGGAGGGCCCGCGGCCAGAGCACGGGCTGTCCATGAGACTGCCCCTGGCACTGGCGGCGGAGGACCCAGAGGGGGCCCCCTGGGTCGTCATCCCAGACAGTACCGATCTCGGGCCGCCCGGAGGGGCGGCAGGGGCCGAACCTGTGGCTCGGGCAGCCCCTGCCGCTGGCAGCCACTGCTACTCAATCTGGACCGCCCCGGGGTTCAAGCGAGGATTTCGTCGGGGTGCACAGAGGAGGAGGCGCGGTCGTGTGGCAGGCGATCGTCGTCAGACTCGGAGACCGCAGGTACACTAGCGGGTGGGATCGCCTGCGTCGGTTCCCGTCGTTGGGCAAGGCAATCGACAGGTTCTTCGACGAGCAGCGGGACTAGTACATTGTCACTGTCTTCGATTGGACCAGGGCACAATGAACGCGCTGCCTTCTGGGGCGCTGCAACAGCCCGGGGACGTCCTGCCTCGCTCGCGCCTGATCGAGCTGCCAATACCCGGGGTCCGACCCGCCGGCAGGGCAGCGCGGTGCGAGGCCCGCGTCGGCGCCGAGTTTGCGAGGCTCGAGGTCCCGCGTCGCCGTCGACGCCCTGACCCAACGCGACCTCAACGACCTCGAGTTGGAGGAGCTCTTCATCGCGGTTCCCGCCGTTTTCCTCCCTCGCAACGCCGCCTCGCTCGCCTCCGTGGACAATGTCTCGGTGACGCCGCGATCGGCCCCTGGCGAGGAGATGCTTCCGGGCCTGTTCGAGCTGGCCGACCTCGCCCCGCAGCCCGACGACTGGAACATCAGGATCCTGCTCCGACGAGTCGCGTTCCCCGCCCCTGCCCCCCAGGGCGATGCAGGGAGCGTCGGCTTCCAGCTCTCCGTCGACGATCACATCGATGGGGGGAGGCACCTCACCGCTGATGAGCACGATGGCGAGGGCACGGGGGGCGACGAGGTCGACGCGGCCGGCGAGGCCGCCGCGCAGGAGTGGGCAGGCCGGGCGCGCGGCGCCTACGCGGCGGGCATCTTGGTCGCTGGAGGAGAGGCCCCCGGCGGGGCCGGGGGGCCCATGGCCCTGCCCGCCAGGCGCCCCCCTCAACGGGCGACGCCGCCGCTGGCCGCGCCGGCGGGGAGACCCGCGCCCGGCGCCCCCCCCCCGCTGCAGGCGGGCGCGCAGGGCGCGCGGCGAGACAGGCGACTGCGGCGAGCAGCGCCAAGATGGCCGCAACCCCACGGCGCGTCAACGTGTCGCGCGACGATCTGCAGGGCACCTTCGGGGGCTGCCAAAGCGAGCTGCTGGAAACCATCGGCGGCCAACTGAGGGGCTTCGCGAGCCGCGTCGAGCATGTCGAGAAGAGAAGCATGGGGGCCCGTGGCCTCGCCTCTGCGCGAGGCCCCCCTGCCGCTCCGGGGTCGCCCCTCCAGGCGGGGCCCTCGGCGAGCTCGCTGGCGCCTGCCCTCTCTGTCTCAAGCAGGTCCCCCTTCCATAGCTCGCCCGCCGCGACTGCCAGGACAGCGGCGCAGCTTGTTGGGGCGCGGCCCGCGCGCCTTCCAGGTCCAGGGTGGCGTGGGAGGCCCCGGCGACTGCTCGGGGGCTGCCCCTGCGGGCCGACGGGCCCCCGCCGCGCGAGCAGGGCGGCCGCGCGTTTCCAGAGAGGAGGGCCGACCTCGACCTCTCGGCCCTTCTCGAGGCAGGCGGCCGCGACGCAGACAAGGCCATGCAGCTTGTGGCACCACGGGCATTGGAAAAGGCCGGGGACTCCAAGAAGGCGAAGGAGGACGAGCCCACCTTGGGCGACCTCCTCTTCGGGGACGCAGCCTCGAGCCCCGGAGAGGCAGGCGCAGCGGCCAGGATCCACGGCGCCAGGAGGGCGGCGGGGCCCCCGGCGCTCAACGGTGCCATTGATAGCGAACCGCAGAGGTGGTCAGACCACGTCGACACCGCGGCCTTCACCGAGCTCGGCTGCGACGCCGCAGGCATGCCGTGCAGCGTGGCGCTCTACTCTACGGCGGGCAGTTGATCAGATGCAGGCGCTATGAGGAACGCGAGCGCTGCGAGGAGATGCCTGCGCCCCTCCGCGCGCTGCGCAGGGCTCAGCAGCGCGACCTCCTCGGCGCCTGGATCGGCTGGTTTCTGAAGGCCACGCGGCAGTCTTTGAATGCGAGCGGCCCGTGGAGGCTGGCTTGGCTGATCGCTTGGTTCCCAGGCCCTCGCCCCAGACCAGAGCGGGCCAGGCGGCGAGGGGCATCGCGCGCCCCGCCGACCTCGCAGTCGCTGCGCGAGACAGAGGCGCTCGAGAGCGCCCGCGAGGAAGACCGGCGGGGGCGCCGCCGAGGGCCGCGCCATCAAGGGCTGCGCCCGGGACTGGAAGTCGAACGCGTGGACCGACAAGAAGGGGCAGGGCGGCGGCGGCGGCGGCGGCGGCGGGGGGGGTGAGCGATCGTCTCCAGATGGGCCCGATAGCTCGGAAACGCCGAGGGAGGCCAGCTCATGAGTCGGGCCTTCATTGTCACTACCCATGACCCCGACTTCGCAGGCCGCCGTTGATTCGGTGATCTGCGCTGTTTTTGAATCTGGCCTGCCGACCTCGGTCAGCGCCTTCCTCGAGGCGGGGGTCTCCGAACTCACCCCGACGGGGCATCTCGCCCCCGGCCATGTCACGAGCAGCTCATGCCCCGTGAGCATTCCATGCGAGTGGCGCGAGTAATGCTGCGCCGCGTTCGCCGCGCAGACGTGCGCGGTGGCTTCGGGGGAGACGTCGGCGGCGCTGTGCCAACGTGTCCGTCGCCTATCTTCCCTGGCCCTCGCTCGGGCGCCCCGCGGGCGGGTCGACGGCGTCCGGCCTCGCCGCGCCCGTGACCGAGAGACAGTGGCAGCTGGTGCGCCAGCTTTATGACATGTGTTCATGGTTGTTGCCGCGTCGAGGAGTCAATGCCGCTCCTGACTGGCGGCGTCGCCGGCATCCATCGGGCCGCGGCAGGGCTCGTGGGCGACTAGCGCCTCGGAGGCAGTGCAAATTCTGTCGAGCCTCTCACCATCGCCGCAGACAGCCTCGGCATCCCGCCAAGAGGCGCGACGATCTTGCCCAGGGTGCCAGTCGTGCCTCCTGAGTGCCCAGGTCGTCTCAGAATCTGGGGCGGCTACAATGCCGTGGGCGGTGGGACAATACCAAAACAATGCATCACTATCTCAAGATGGGCGTGGCCGCCCTATCCTTCGCCCACATGTCGTTTGACAGCCGACAGCGTGCCCAACATATTTCTCAACACGCTCCAGCTGTATGGGGTGTTGGGTGATAACGTTTCAAGCACACCCAAAGGGCAGGACGCATTTTAGACGCATGACAACGACGGCAATGTTGGAACAGGTCGAGAGCCCTCTGTCTGTGGGGCTCTGGAAGGCGGCGCAGCAAAGCCAACGCCGCTTCGCCCCGACGCCCCTGGCCCTTTAGCCAGCCTTTTCCTCGCGAGCTCCACACATGGGGTGCTTTGGAAAACGAGCGTCGGACATCATGATTGCGATAGTCATGATGTTGATGACGATGATGATGATGATGGTGATGGTAATGGTGGTGATGGTGATGATGCGGAATAGGATGATGATGATGGTGGTGATGATGATGATGATGATGAGGAGGAGGAGGAGGAGGAGGAGGAGGAGGAGGAAGAGGAGGAAAAGGAGGAGAAGGAGGTCCGAGACGGCAGATGGAAGTGATGTGATGATGAGAGGGAGGAGTTCTAATGGGAGGAAGATGAGGATGAGGAGGAGCAGGAACAGGAGGAGGAGGAGGAGGAAGAGGAGGAGGAGGAGGAAGGGGAGGCGGAAGAGGAGGAGGGTGAGGAGGGGGATAAAGCGGGGGGGGGGAGGGGGCGGAGCAGGAGCAGGAGCAGGAGGAGGAGGAGGAGGAGGAGGAGGAGGAGGAGGACGAAGAGGAGGAGGAGAAGGAGGAGGAAAAGGAAGAGAAATGGAACATAGTTTTGGGCCGACCAGGTGCCCGCGGGAGAGCAGACTCTCCCCACGACCCCGGCGAATCCGCTGCAGGGGCTGATGGGCGCGGGCGCCGGTGCGGGCGCAAACTCCGGAGACCCGATGGCGCAGATGATGGCGCAGTCGCAGGCCGGTGCCGCTGCTGCTTTGCTTCCGCCAGGGTGCGATGGAGGGATGGCGGGGAGGTTCGGCGCATTGGAAGAGCATCGAGTCCAGGCCGCCCAGATGGGGGCGGAGTAGATGGAGTTTCTGCGGATCGCGCCGCATCGCCGACGCATCAGCGGCGCGGCGCGATCTGGAGCCAGCTTTCCACATGGCGGCCTCAGCGTGCTCGGGCCCCGTCCGGGCGGGCTCCGCTGAGGGGCGGTGGGCGCCGTCGCAGCCGCCGCTCCTTCTCAAGCTCAGGTCTCCGACGATACGTCTTGTTCCACCAGGGCCCGCGTCCTCCTCCGTTCTGCTCGTCCACAGAGATCCGACGCTCCAACAAAATGTTGGAGCGGCGGGCTTTTGACAGTTTGCGGCCTCTGGGGGCCTGCGCCGAGCGTCGAAAATCGGCTCAGGACGCATAGCTGGCCGTCCAGACTTCCGGGGCCCACGCATCGAAAAAATTGAAGCGGCTGGATGTCTGGGGTCTTCCAAGTTGCGCGCATGCGAGTTCGTTCACTGTGCTGGCTGAGGCGTGATAGCACATGATTGGATTGTGTTCAATGGGAGAAAGATTTTGTTGAACCGAGGCGCCGTTTCCTCGATTAGGCCCCTGCATCGGGACGCTCGAAATCTGTACACAAAGACCGACAGCGGTTCCCGTTCGTCTTGAGCAGGAGCTGCTGTCGGTGTCGCCGCGGACGTTGTCCATTCGAGGCAGAAGGCCGCCTGCCCACCAGCGGCCGCTGTCGGTTTTGGACCATTCGTTGTTGGGCATCGTACTCCAGATTTTGTTATAAAGGGAGGGGGGTCTCATTTCGGGGGGGGGGTCTCTTCCAGGCTATCTTGGAGGGCCTGGGGGGTCTGGGGACGATGTTTTGGAGGGTTTTCCCACGGGGGAGGTCTGAAATGGCTTGTCTTGGAGGGTCCAGACCCCTTCCCTTTCAATACGAAATCTGGAGTATCCATTTTTTCCGTACCCACTGCGGGCCGGCCAATTGCAGGCCCGTCGACGTGCCCCGGAGCCGTGAAGCACGGAGCCGTGGCGAGGTGCTGCCGGGGCAGGCGGGGGGACGGGAGCTCTGCAGCCGCACACCGAAGACGTCGGATTGGCGGAGGTGAGGCCCACAGAGTTCTGTGTGCATCCTTCGCCGCTCCGGGGACGCACCATGGAGGAGGAGGAGGAGGAGGAGGAGGAGGAGGAGGAGGAGGAGGAGGAGGAGGAGGAGGAGGGAGGAGGAGGAGGAGGAGGAGGAGGAGAGGAGGCGAGAGAGGAGGAGGAGGAGGAGGAGGAGGAGGAGGAGGGGGTGCTCTCTTGGGGCCGTCCTGGGCCGTCCTGGCCCTCTTCTGTCTGTGTACCCTCTCCTATCGTTATCCTCACCTCCACCGCTGCCCTTTCGGTCTGCGAGGTGTTGACGTTAATGTCGTCGGTACCCCCAGTTACGAGAGGAGAAAACAGATAGCGCCTCCATGCTACGGGTGATTGGCGGGGTTGGCTCTCTGATCCTTCCTTCCCGTTCACATCTTCGGGCTCTCAGTGAGATCCGTTGGTTCCTCGAAGCTCGCAGGTGGACCGATCTGCGAGCGAGGGACTTCCGATGGTCGCCGGCAGGGCCCGGGCTCGTGGTTGTCGGGCATAGCCAGGACCCCGGGTCAGGGGACCCGGTTAGCGGTAGGGCCCTGGGGCCCCTCCACCATTGGCCAGATTCACTAAACCAGGCTTGCCGTAGCTGGTGTTTTCCGGGTGACGGCAGTTCTGGTTGGTGGAAATGGGACGGGGGGGCGCCCCCGGTACAAATTGCTAAACCAGGTTCCACGAAACCCAGTGCTGCCGACGCCCGTGTTTGGCCCGGCGCCCCCGTGGGCCGCAGCCCGGCCCGCATGGGGGCCCGCGGCTCCGCGGCCGGGAGCTCGGCGCCCCCCGCCCTCGTAGTGGGCGGCTCCTGGCCTCCGACGGTCAGGAGCTCAGCGTGTCGCTCCGCCGGCGCTGGCCCATAAAACGACGCGAAGACCGGGACAAAATCGGATCGGGATAACTCGACATCTCCGAGAATCGGCGGGTTTGGAGGATGTACTGGGCGCCGCGGCCGCTCCAGAGCGTTCCGGAACGCTCTGAGAGCGCTCCGCAACGCTCTGGAGCGACTCATCCCGATCCTAGCCCTGTTTTTGCCCACCACGCTCAGCGCCCAGAGACGCCCGTTTTGAAGCGCAGCGCGTGCCGCGTTCAAAACGCCCGCGTGACGTGCGTCGGGGGCGTCCAACGGGGGGGCCCAGACATGCTCGCGTCGTGAACAAAATAGCACAGAGCAAAACCCCACTCAGTGGATGGTCTGGAAAGTAGTGATATGGACATTGAGATCGAATGCATCGATGGGGAGATCGAAAGTGGGATCGATAGCGAGGACGATGATGAGGCCAATCGTGAGACCGATAGTGATGTCGATTCAGTTCGTTCTATTTGTTCTCGGGCTCTGAGAGGAAAAGCGACGGGAGGTTTTTGGCCATTCTCGGCCTCAGGGGGCCCTCCAGGTCGGGGGACCGCCAATCAACGACTCGGGATGAGAAGTTGGCCCTGGGGAAGGAGTCGGGACTTCTGGCTGGTACTGCGAATTGAGCAAATATGGCACCGCATGTCTGGGTTGGGGACCTTGGGGGCGTGTGGATATTGTGGCTTGGGCCGCGAAGACTCCCAGATTTCAGGGCCCCCCTCTTCCTCCTACAGGACGCTGTTCCCAGTGCCCGAGTTCCCCTCCCCCCAAAAAAGACGGGCCTCTTGCGATAGCAGACCCCGAGCAGCTTTTCGCGGTCCACGCGGGGGTGGGGGGGTGGGGCGCGATGTGGGGGGGCCCATGGCGGGGGACCACCCCGGGCCACCGCTTTCGGGGTGGGCGGGGCTCCCCCTCGCCCGGCCTTTGGAGGAAGAGCGCAGAGAGCTCCCGGGCAGGCTGCTCGGCGGGGAAGTCAGTGCCGCTCCGGATGGAAGGGAAAAGCTCGGGAAGGCACCCCGGGAGGGCCAGCTGCACGCATCCCCCCCGTCGCCGATGGAGCCCCCCCCCCGTCGCAGGCCCCCCCTCCCTCGCCCGAGCCTGGCCCCGCACGTCCTGCCCAGCCGAAGCTCCCACGACGTTGGGGGTCGGGGTCGACGTCACGCCCGGAAGAGGAGGAGGAGGAGGAGGAGGAGGAGGAGGAGGAGGAGGAGGAGGAGGAGGAGGAGGAGGAGGAGGAGGAGGGGAGGGGGAGGGAGGAGAGGAGGAGGAGGAGGAGGAGGAGGAGGAGGAGGAGGAGGAGGAGGATCGAGCACTTTTTCGTCGGCGGTGCTGGCGGGCGCCGGCGCCTCTGCGCGGTCCCGGCGGGCCGCGCCGCGCACGGGGCGCTTTTGTGGCACGCGTGGAAGACAGCACGGGGCGGCCGCGGAGGCGGAGGAGGGACGGGGGCCCGACCGCCGAGCAGTTC